CGGGGGGGGGCCCCCCCCCCCCCGGGGCCGTGGCCCGGAGCCTCCCTGCAGTGACGGGTCACGCGGCGGCCGGGAGCAGCTCCGGGCTCGGGGCGGCCTCCAGCCTCCTCCTCTGAGTCATCCTGCGCTGGGCGAGAGCCGCCCCGAGCGCTGGAGCAGGGCCCCGGGGTGCCCCCGAGCCGCTGCTCCCCCCTGCACCCCACGGCAGAGCAGGGCTGAGCCCGGGCACCTCTTGCCCCTCGTTGCACAGGTCAAAATGCACATGGCCATGGAGCAGAGGTGCCAGCCCCAAATCCCCCGGGTGTTGGCATCACCCAGGGATCGTGCGCTCCCATGGCATCCCTTGGGCAGCCCTCTCCTTCCTCCTCCTCTTCCTCGGACGAGGATGCCATCGGGCTGGGCCACGTCCCGCAGGAGCAGGGCGCTTTGCTAGGAGACGGCTGTGTGTTTGGGGGGGCGTTTTCCTCCCGCCCTGGAGACCGAGGCAGCTGTTTTTCATCTGGGCTGCCTTCCCTTGGCCCCAGCAGCAGGCAGCTGGCGTGGCCTCATGGGTGAGGGCAGCCCCTGCCTGACCCGCACCGAGCTGCGGGCACGGCCGGGCACCGCTGGGCACGGCTCCCCTGCCCCAACCGAGGGCATCGGAGCCGGCCCGAGGGAGCGCAGGGGGAGGTTGCAGGGAGGGCTGAGGGGGTGAGTGGACGCGGAGATGTCATTGCCGAGGAATTTGGCCTGGGCGGAGGAGAGGAGAAAGGGAGGGAGAGGAAGAGCCAGGCACACCGGGCATGGGGGGACAGTCTCCAACCCCTCTACGCTCACGCTCTGCCCGCAGGTCCCTTCGGCCAGCCCCTGCCCCAGCCCCTCCGCCGGTCCCCCAGGGAGCTGGTCCCCCCCCTTGCCTTCCCCAGTTTCCAGGGAAATCCAGATGTTTGGGCCCAGCTCCGGCATTGCTCAGCCTCGCTACCCTGCCAGATGTTTCCTCTCCCCCCGGGCAGGGGTGTGTTCTCCCCAGCCGGGGACACCGGGGAGGGGGACGGTGCTCCCCGCCGTGCCAGCACCTCCGCAGGGGCTTCTCCCATGTCCCCTGTAACACACGTGGGACCGGTGGGCTCCTTCCCCCTGCCCGCCCTCGCCTCCCCCGGGGGCTGCCGCTGTCTTTGGGGGTGCGTTGCATCCCCACCAGCCCGGAGCGGTGCGGGATGCAGGGATGTGGCAGGGCATGGGGATGCTGGGGTTGCCTGGGGCGTTGCAAGGAGTCACTGGGGCAGCATCCCAGCCAGTGTGGCTTCGCTGGGGTTGTCCCAGTGCTGTGCCTCTTCCAGTTGGGAAATGGCAGGGAGATGGTGAGGAGGGAGGCTGGGAGTGGAGCGGGGTGGCGTGGGGGAAGCCGGCACAGTCAGGCCCCGTGCCAGTGGGTTTTGACAGCGCGTCTGCAACATTTTATCTCAGCTGGGAGCAAGGAGCAGAGCCCGGAGTGGCCGGAGCAGAGCGATGCAAACCATTTCCAGATGCGCAGTAGGAAGAAGCCAGGGGGAGACGGGCAGTGACCCGGGGGGCCCGGGGGGCATCTGCCCGCTCCTGCGGTGGCAGCCGGAGGTGCCCAGGGCACGGGGGCTCTGGCCATGACGGAGCCGCTGCCGTTCGGGGTCGGAGGGACCCTCTCCCCGTGCCCGTAGCCCTCCGGGTCTCCCCCACCTCAGGGTGGCCATGGGGCGGAGGCAGTGCTGTCCCGTCCCACTGCGCACAGGACTCCTGTCTTCCCCGGCCGGGGCGAGGAGGCACAAAGCAGCTCCCTGTCCCCCTCCATCCCTCCCTCCTGGCACAGCAGGGTCGGGGTCCCTCGGAGCGGGCAGCGGGTGAATGCTCAGCATTTTTGGCCTGCCCAGAGCAGCCTTCATCAGCTGCTCCCATGCACCATGCCTCCTCCTCCTCCTCCTCCGCAGCACAGAGGAGCAGCACGTTGGGCCGCCTGGCGTGGCCCCGGCCATGGCTCCCCTCGCCCAACCGGGAACAAACCCGCTCTGTGAGTGCACACAGAGGAGCCTTCAGCGGTGCGGGTCCCCGTCCCCCCTCCTCATCCTCCCCCGGCACCCCGGGCCCGTCAATAGCAGGATTGTGCAGAGCCGGGGCAGGTGTCGGGAGCGGGGGCACGGCCGGCGGCCCGGGGCACGTAACCCCCACATCTGTTTGCTCGGCGTCGGAGAGCCCCTGCCAGCCCTGCCCAGTGCGGCAGGCAGGGGACGGGCATCCCTGCCCGCACCCTCCTCTGGCAGGGTGTGATGGCACGTCCCTGTCCCCTGCAGACCTGGACAAGCTGCTGTCAGACCTGCGGTCCTTTCTGCTCATCCTGGACCGGGAAAGCCTCAGTGCCGCAGCTCGGGCCAAGAAGAAGTCAGTGGCAGATCTCCTCTCCCGGCTGCAGAGCCCCTCGTGTGAGCGCGGGTCTGCGGGCGGGGGGCCGGGGTGGCAGGGAAGGGGCCGGGAGCGGGGCTGTGGCTGGGCTCTCCCTCCGCAGCAGAGGATGCAGAGTACATGATCATGCGCTGCCTCTCGCCTTCCCTGGGGACCCCGCAGGGCCGGGCCAGCCCGGGTGAGTCGCACGCTCTGACCTGCACCCCATCTCCGCCAGCGGCTCATTGTGCGTGGCCGGGGATGCCCAGCTCCTCGCCGGCCCGGCACGCCACTGCCAGTCCTGCTTTTCCCCCCAGGAACCAGGACGGCGGATGGAACAGGAGGGAGAACCTGCGAGTGCCGCCCAGCCAGCACCCTGAGCCTGTATGGAGGGGTAAGGGTGGGCAGCAGAGGGGTGGGGGGCTGTGGGTGTGCAGGGGGGCTCGGGCAGCAGCACGGTGCTGGGATGGAATGGGAGAGGGGCACCCGGTGGCCGTCACACTGCAACCTTGCTCGCACGGGGGTCGGGCCAGGCTGGGAGGGTTCCCGTGCTGCCTGCCAGCTCTGGGCAGAGCCCCCCAGCAGTCCCTTGGGGACCCTATGAGGTTCACCCCAGGGGCAGCACCTTCGGAGCACCCCTTCTCTCCCCAGAGCAAGGTGCCGGGCATCTCACCGTCCCCACCAGCCGACGACTCCTACGAAGATGCCGAACCCCTTGGCCCTGGCAGAGACACTGGCTCCGGTGAGCACCCCACCGCATCCCCTCCCCGGCACCCGCATGCACCCAGCACCCTGATGCCGTCCTGGCTCTCAGGCGGTGCCGACACCGACAGCAGCCACTACGAGTCGTATGGGGAGGATGAGGATGGCGTGACGGACCGTGCCCACTACCTGCGGCGGCCCCCGGCCCCTGGCCCTGATGCCGAGCTCGCCAGCCGCCCCGAGGCGCAGCTCTGTGGCTTTCTCTGGAGGAAACGCTGGCTGGGGCAGTGGGCAAAGCAGCTCTTCATCGTCCGGGAGCATGTGCTGCTGGTGAGCGGCTGGAGGAGGATGGATGGAGGGTGGGAGCAGGTCCCCGAGCTCTGCTGACCCCGCCATGCCTCTGCAGTGCTTCAGGTGTGCCGCCGACCCGCAGCCGGTGCTGGAGCTGGACCTGCGGGGCTGCCACGTCGCCTACAAAGCCAAGCATGGCAAGAAGATGCCGCACGCCCTGAAGGTGACGGGGACGGCGGGTGAGGTGCTGGTCATCGGTTTCCAGAGCCGGCAGCAAGCTGAGGACTGGAGGAAGGTTTGGAGGTGTTGCAGCCTGGCAGAGCTCTGTGTGGGCAGGAGGGAGGGGTGGGCAGGGAGAAACGGGGGTACAGCCCTGCTGGGGTGCTCCCGAGGTGGCTGGGGATGACCCCATCTGTCCCCAGCTCCTCTCCCGTCCCAGGGGTGCCTGGAGCCCCGTTAGATGGGGGAGCGGGAGCCCGAGGCTGCAGCACTCCCCCTCTTCCTCGGTAGGTGATCGAAGAGGTCAGCAGCGATGCTCCGAGCGGGCTGGCAGCCATCAGCGTCCCAGCGTCGCCCTCCTTGAGGCTGGGCAGGGTGAGCCGCTTGTGCTCCCCCGGGAATCCCAAGCACGGGAAAGGGGCTGCCGGGGGTGTCAAGAGTACACCCCAATTCCCTGTCCCGCTGTCCCCCTTGGGTGATGCTGGGGAGGGTTGCATTGCCGGGGGGTGGGGGTCAGGGTGCAGGGGGCTTAAAACCTGCAGGGGATGGGGCTCTCTGGATCTCCATTCTCAGGCTGTCGGGTCCCAGCTCGGCAAGGAGGAGGAGAAGGAGGATCGCTCCCGGCAGAGCCCTGCCCGCAGCCCCCGGCCTGGAGAGGATGCTAAAGGAGGTGCGGCGCATGGGGACCGGGCAAAGGGGTGTCCCTGCACCCCGTGCCGCTGCTGATGGGGGATGCACCCACAGGTTTTCTGGCGGTGCGCCTGCGCGGGCGGTGGCAGCGGCTGTGGTGCGCGGTGCGGCAGGGAGCCCTCCGCATGTTCCCCGAGCCCGGCGGTGCCCAGCACCCCGTCTGCGCCCTGCGGCTGGGGGGCCTCGGGGTCTCCCCCGGGGCGGGCGCCGGCGCCCC